TTGCTGAAATGTTTGTTTCCGGGTGTCATTTTAGACTGCAAGTAGCTAAAACAGACCCAGCTCCTATATATAGACTCTGCATTTGGTTGTGCTCTAGGAGGCTTTTATTACTACGCTTCTTGGCCAGCTCCCAGCTGAGCCTTTCCCTCAGATTTTGGAATTAGGAAGTCAAAGAGGATCACTGACCATATTAAGGGTCTCTTTCTCTGTTAATGCTCCGGATGCCAGCTTAGATCGGCTCTTCTCTCTGCTCAGAGCCTCCTAGTATTAATGATGACACTGCTGATGGGAACAGACCAGCCCCACTGTGGCAGTGAATACAAGCTCCCCTGCCATCTGAAGGAAACAATTTGTGTCAAGATGAAGTATCGCACAGCCTAGTCTAGATAAGAGGACCCAGAACCCCTAGTGGATAGAACAAAGGGAGGGATTCCTAAAGGTGTTTTGTTTATTTTTCTTTTTTTTTTCCTATTTTTGTTTTGAGGGTGGGTATTGGAATTTTCCAGGGAGGGGGATTGGTATGCTAGGACCACAAAGGTGAAGGAAGGAAGCTGAGGTGGTGAAAAGCAAGGAGAAACTGTCAGCAGGAGTGGCATAGAAGGGCTTCTTTAAGGAGACAACATTGGACTCTGGTTTTTAAAAATGTGCCCTGTCCCTGAGACAGTCTCTCCACTGTGTGTCCTTTGTTTTCCCGGCCCCATTTTCCAGTGTCTTTCTTTACCTGCCTCTGGGGTCTTGCTGTGTTAATCCAGCATGGATCTAACTGCCTTTCTGGTCTCCATCTTTCATGTCCTCACCACCCCTCCCTCACTTTTCTCCTTCCCTGTTTCCTCCTTCCCTCTTGTGTTCCCCACTTCCCTCTCCCAGTCCTTCGTCCTCCCAGATTCCTCTTTTCCAACCCTCCTGCCCTCCCTCTTCCAGTTCACTTCTTTCTCCTTCTGCCCCCCCCCTCCTCACCTTCCCCCTTCCCTTTCCCCTTGCTTTCTTCTCTCCTTCCTTCTCCTCTTCTCTCTGGCCCCCTAACTGCCTTTCATTCTCTCTCCCCTCTCTCCTTCCCCATCTCCCCATCCCTTCTCCTTGCTCCTCTCCCTTCCCTTTCTTCCTCTTTCCCTGCTCTCCCTCTCTGTCCTCTCTCGTCCTCAAACATACAGCTCCAATTTCTTGCCTTCTAGATTTACCTGCAGAGCAAGACACCGCTCCTCTTGCAAGAACTGTTTAAGAAATCCATATCCTCTCCTTTCATTCCTTGGGCATTTCAGAAATGATATTCCTCCCCCAACTACCCCGTCAAAATAAAATGAATTCAGCCAGCCCCTGCTGTGTGTCCTTAGATTCATTCCCTGTAGCTTCGCTGGTTTGAAAGCCTGTACCCTAGAAGGGGCCTCCTGCATTTGCTGGCAACCCTGCTTGAGTCTGATCGCCACAGATAGTGCTTTGGAGTAAAAAAAAGGGGGGAAAAACCCTCTCGTTGGAGATTTCAAAACAGATTCTACCAGCTTTCAAATCTGTGCACTTTGCGGAGTGGCAGGGTTTGAGGGAGAGGGCTTGAAGACTTGGGGTGTGGGTGTCTTTCATAAACAAATAAGCAACAGAATTTATATATGTATAAATTTGGGCTTTCCTTTGGCATGTTTGGTGTCTGTCTCCCTGGCATCAAGGGTGGGTGCTGTGTAAGTCTGACTTCTCTCCCACTTTTGCTCCTGCTTGGGGTATGAGTGTCTGTGTGAGTGTGTGTGACGGAATTGAGGAGGGGGGTGGCTGTGTTTTTGATCCGATTCACTTGACAGATTATTTGAATCCAGCCCACCTTTCCGCACATGTCAAACAGATGGGATCATTGTTAAAAGCCTGGAGAGCCGGGCTGAGCGGTGGGTAAGGCAGGGAGGGGGAGGCAGGAGGGGCACCGAGGGGAAGGAGGGGGCACCTTCCAGGAGCTTTGTGTTTTCACACATTGGAACTGACAGGAGACCTTCTTCTTTGTGGGTGGGGGGGAGTGTTTTGGGGCCCGGGGCCTGCTGCGGGGGGATGGAAAGGGAGAGAGGTGGGGTGTTGGTGGGCAGGGTTATGATGTCACAGCCAAAGTTACAACAGGAGGAAAACACAGAAATGGTTCAACATTTTTTTTTAAACTTTGGACTGCCAAGAGCTGAAGGAGAGTGGTGAGCAAAGGAATGGAGGGGGGAGAGAGAAACTGAACTGGAAGCTTGAGTTTTGTGTTGCCTCTTGAAACCTTATGAATGGATTACTAGCAGCTCAGAGCCAGGAGAGTCCTATAGGGGATGCAAGATCACCCACACACTCAAAGGGGGAGACAAGCAGGCGGAACCCTTCCCTGATGTGCTACCCCCCTTCCTGAAATGAATGGTAGGAGATGTTTTTCTGAGGATCCTTGGGGTGGCAAGGGGGGGATGACTCCTTTTCTTACCTGATTATCTTTTTTTTCTCTTAAGCTAAGCTACCTCTTCCTGATATTCTCTCTCTCTCTCTCTCTCTCTCTCTCTCTCTCTCTCTCTCTCTTTCTCTCTCTGTCTCCCTTTCTCTCTGTGTGTCTCTGTCTCTTTTTCTTCCCTGGCTCCCTCCCTCCTCCTCTCCTCTGCTTTTCTGGCTTTCTTTATTCCCCGCCCCCAGTCTCAATTTCTATTCTTAATCTGCTTCAAGGGGGGAAAACTGAGTCAGGAAAGTGAAGGGAGATAGGGAAGTGATCTAGAAAAAGGGACAATTGAGGACCAAGGGGTATCTGCTCAGCAACATCCACGTGCCTGAACTGGGAGCTTCTTTGGGGACCAGCTTGGAGGCTCTATTCCATGCTACATGGGGAAGCAGGGTGCACAGGACCCCACATCTACAAAGCAGCTAGGTCAGTGCTCAGCTGGAGTAGAGGAGTTCAGAAAGATAAGGAGACGCAGGACGAAGGAAGCACCATGGTCTTACTCCAGAGCATGTGGACTGTGTGATTTAGATATGAGCAGCTGAAGCAGTGATTTTGAAAGTGTAAGTGATTTTTCTTCTTGCTTGAGAGAAAGATTCAGTGCCTATTGCTACCTATTTTATACTACCTGTGGGCCAGCATGCCTGTGTCTGGATTCCAGATCTGTTCTCTGCGTGCGTCCATGTGTCTGTCTGTGTGCTCTGTGCACGTGCATGTTCCTGTAGGGGATGGAAACCCTGTGGGAAAGCTGACATCTCACACCTAGGCAAACAACGCAGAGGTTAAACTCACAGTGTTCACTTCGCCTATCTTGCCCATTCATTTCAAATCAATTAAAAAAATAGCTGCCTCAGTTTAGCTGTTCATTTGTGTAAATTACTTATTTTGAGCACCTCATTTGTTTATTTGTTCACTCGGCATATGGTGACTTTTACTAACTTTAGGCTGAGAAACTTCCGAGAGAAAAAAAGACTGTCTCTATGCTAGGAGTGCATGGTGTTTCCATTTAATGCTTCTCACGGCAGGGTGATTGATTTCTCCTTTTCTCCAGTGTCCAATAGGAAGTGGATTCTGGTATTGTCCTTTTAAATCTGAAATGATAGAGTAAAATAAGAAAAAAAATATAGGAGGCTTGTGATAAATCAAAAGAAAGAGATGTGAATGGTCCCCAAAAGACTAGTGTGTGTTTATTGACCAGGTCCATTCAAAGTGTGTGTGTGTGTGTGTGTGTGTGTGTGTGTGTGTGTGTGTGTGAGAGAGAGAGAGAGAGAGAGAGAGAGAGAGAGAGAGGCTACACACAGAAAGGCACACTCCAAAACAGTATTGATTGTTTTCTATTGATTGTGTAGGCTGCGGCTGCTGAGAGAGAAAGCCCGAGATGTTTACTGGGGAAACCAAGAGGAGCATCTGTCCCCTGTGCCTCTGAGAGGTGGGGGTGGGGGAGCTCAGGAGGAAGGAGGGGACAGGGAGTAGGTGGAGTGATGCACCAAACTTATTAGCTTTGACATCATCATTGTCTTTAAATGAAAACAAAAAAGCAGGAAGATAATTACAGGCAGAGAGAGGGAGAGAGGGAGAGAAAGGGAGCAGGAGAGACAGGAGGGAACGGGTCCCTTGACCTATATGTGGTTCATGTTGCTCTTTTTATTCATCTTTCCAGGGACCCACCAGGCTCCCAGAAGGTGAAACCAAGAGTTCTCAGCCTCATTTGGTCAGGAGAGCAGCAGACTGGCAGCCAGAGAACTTTACAGAGACTTGCAGCATACCAACAAGTTGGACGGGGATAAAAACCTCTCTTCAATAGTCAACAACCCTGAGCGCCAAGCTGAGGGAGTGCTCACCTACCCAGGCAGGCTGGAAGCTGCATGAACACCTGGCTGAGGACATCTGAAGAGCGGAAGTTAAGTACCAGCATCGATTTTTATGCCCCCAGATTATTTTTGCATTTTTAGATAACGAGCATCAAATTGTGTCTCAATCTAAAAGTTATTTTTTGTTGTTGTTGTTTTGTTTTGTTTTGTTTACCTAGCAATTTGCTTTAAGTTGAATATGTTTTGGGCAATGGCCTCAAAAGGAGAATCTAACTCCTAGGGAAGGAAGAAGAGGCAGAAGAGAACATTATAGACTAAGATTATATTGAACAAGCAGTTAGGGTGCTGTGTTTTTGAGAGAATTTGGCTTACGTCATACATACTCTTGTAGTATTAGTGAGGAGAGGCGTGCCTGAAAGAAGAAAAGGAAGCCTGAGGTCTCTGGGAGGAATTTCAAAGTAAGAACAGTTAACTTCATTCTGAAGGACTGAAATCAAGCAAGAAGAGAGGTCAAGGGAGAAGGCAGGAGAAAACCCGGCAGGGCAGCCAGAGGGACAGAAGCCACAGCGGGCTGGCTGAATTCCCAGGACAGGTAGCCAGGTGGGATATATTTTTGGGGCTCCTTGAAAAAGTTTGGTTTGTGAATAGTTTCCCTGGTGACTTCAAATCCACTGCTGGTTGTCTTTTTCCTCTTCTCCCCATCATTTTTGTGTGGGACCCAGAAGCTGACCTCTGGTTCTGAGGAGCCAGCTGAGGGAGCTATGATGTGTTGGAAGGTCCTGAGAGTCAGTCTGGTGGTCCTGGCTGGGTGGGCATTCAGTACCACCAACTCAGAGCTGGGCTGGACACGCAAAAAATTCCTGGCCCAGAGGGAACAACTGAACCAGGTGTTGGAAGAGGAACACTGTTGGCTGGGGACTAAGATTCGAAGGCCCAGAACTGCTCCTCAGCATCATCTCTTTGGGGTCTACCCAAGCCGACTCCAAAGCTACCCAAGGCCCTATGCTGTGGGGAAGAAGCAAACCCAGTATGGAGGATGGAGTCAACCAGGCATGGAGAGACAGGCATCAAGCGTGGTTCCCCGAGACCTGACTGAGAACCCAGCAGGAGTGAGGAGGGAGCCTGAGCCGCCCGCTGCCCTGTGGGTAGGGGATGGTCCTATTGGGCAATCAGAGCTGCTGAGAGATGATGACACTTATCTTGGCAACGGAGGATCCAAGGAGGCTCTAGGTGAGCCTGAGACTCGGGGAAGCTCAGAAACTGCTGCCTCCACCATCACCACCTTTGCGTACCAGAAAAGACCCACAGCAGAGACCCGGAGGAAGGGCCAGGCCAGGTCTAGGCTTCCTCGCCAACTGCTGAAGAGGCATGCAGAAGACAGGACCAGAGACCCCCAGAATGCCCCTCTAGATTTCCAGCTCTGGCCTAAGGACCCCCTCAAGCACGGAGTTAGTGACAGTCCATTGGAGGGCACCATCCAAAATGGTGGAGGGGTCTCTACCTGGGGAGCAGAGACCTTTAACCCTCAAGAAGGACTGCCTGTACTGTACTTCTCTGGGAAGAGGGAGCGGCTGCTGCTGCGTCCAGAAGTGCTGGCTGAGATTCCCCGGGAGGCGTTCACAGTGGAAGCCTGGGTGAGACCAGAGGGAGGACAGAACAACCCAGCCATCATTGCAGGTAATGTCCCACTCTACTCCTGGGCTTTCTCAGGTCCTGGGGGTGTGTGGCCGGCTCCATTTCAGTTGCGGGTAGACATAGAGCACAAGAAGGGGAACAGGATAAAGCAGACAAGCTAGGAAGGCTTGGCCAGAGGGGCTGTGTGGGTGTGGGGTTTATTTATCAGAGCAGAAGTACCACAGGCACTATCAAAGGAAAGATGACTCCTACCCACGACATCATTACCGCTATCGATCTCTTGGAGTTCTATACATTGTGTTTGCACTTAGGAGACTTCAGCTTAGCTCGTTCCCCCACCCCTTTTTTTTAAAGGGAACCGACTTGTATTCTTTGTCAAGGAGAAAGGGGAGTCACACCCTGCTTCTCATAGTCTAGCATGGGATACTCAGGCACCTCTGGAAAGCAGGTGACAGAGCAAGGATGGCAGCAGTGAGTAATGCCCAGCTGGGTCCAAACAGCATTGGAAAAAAGGCTGCCACCCTGGAACTAGGGAGAAAGGCAGCACCTGTTCCACGTCCTGGGGTCCCCTTTGCTTCACCCCAACAGATCTACTGGGCAGATGGGCTCTTCCAGGCCAGGGTCCTGACTTCTATCCATGGTGGTTGTTACATGAAGACCTAACTCTGAAAGTGTTATTTATCATGTCCAATTCTATAATGTTAACCAGAGGCGCTGGCTTGGGCTTGTTACCTGTGTTTATTTTGAATAACAGAGAAACACCTAGAAGGACAAAGAAAAGAGCTTGGTTTGGAGTTCTTGCCGCGAGAGGTTGATTTCTGGCAAGGGGTGAGGGAGGGATTTAACTGTATATTTTATCCTTCGGTGTTTCTTTATTCTTTTAGATATTCCACCAAGGGAGAGTGGGGACAATAAGCACAAAATGTAATGATATGTATGCAAGGGAATGTGACAGTGTGACCAGTTTGTTCATACCCTAACTAAAAAACAATCCGATACTTATCCAAAAAAAAAAAATAATAATGGCACTAATTTGGATTAGTCAAACCCCCTCTTCTGTCTGTCAGTTCCATTCCATTGATGGAGACACTGAGGCAAAGAGGTTCATGTCAGAGACAGGCTAGGGGGAAAAATGTCAGAATTCCTGAATTTCTAGCCTCTCAAAAAAGCAAAACAAACAAACAAACAAATCCCACTCAGGTTGCCGAGTGCCGCCAAATGAGTTGCAGACTAGGCAAAAAATCTGGAGGGCAGGAGCCTCCTCCAGTGGGGTGTCGCTGGAACATCCTTGTGGACACTCTGTCTCCCCCTCTTTGGCTGTGATTTCTTATTTGGAATCTGGGATTCCCAGACACTGAGCACTCTCCAGTCATGTGGCTTTGCTTTATTTTAGTTTTGGGTGGGAGAGGGGGTGAGAGAAGGGGCCAGGCTGTAACTAGGTGGGGGCAGAGAAAGAATAAGATGGAAATCCTTATTCTGGAGCCAAAATGGAAGAAATAATGAGATGATTATCTGATCGGAGCTGGCAGCTTCACAGTTTCCCCCAGATGACATCTTCCTGCTGCCTAGTCTGGCTTCCTAGTGCCCATCTGCCAGGGAGACTGCGTGCTTGCAGTCTAGATGGAGGCCCACGGCTCTGACTATGCTTCCTCCTGCAGCAGAAACATAGAGACCTGGAATCAGTTCCCTGGCTGGGAAGAGTAAGAGGATCCAAAAGGAATATATGTGGGAGGCTCTGAGGGGTTATTGCTCGGGGTTATTAAAGTCCAATCCTGGAAAACAGGAACACGGCACCCAATCTCTGCATTTACCTCTCTAGTCCTGGATCACATTCTTCAAGGAGAGTGATTTAAGATTTGACTCCAGGTTCAGGATTCTTTGCCTCCCCTCTGGCATGTATACCCTCATCTCCGTGTGCCTCCCTGCCTTGCCTGTCTATCACCAGCAACTGTCTCCATACCACCACAGAACACTTCCAGGTTCTTCCTGAGCCCCTCAGAACCCTCTTAGCCTCTAAGCATGCAAAATTGGGAAGGAAATCTTCTTCAGCAATTTGGCTTCCAAAGTTTCCTTTTCCTCAAATCTAACTGGCTCCTGTGACATTTGGGGACTTCCCTCTTAAGTCTGCTTCTAGAAGGTGGAGGGTAGAGCATATTCAGACCTGTCTGTCCCGTGTTCCACCCTCTGTCTTTCTGCAGACTTGTGCATGGTTCAAATTATCCTCGGAAGACTTAGGGTAAAAGGCTGTGGGAGGCAGGGGTTAATAACAGGGTCTCTATTCTTTGAGCCCAGCAAGAAAGTTGCTGAGAACTTAGCATCCAGGTCCACTCATTGTTTCAAATGCTGTTATTTCATCTGCGAACAGCACAGCTAATGACAACGAGGTTGCCAAATCAAATTCTCAGTAGTAAGAGTCTCTACTTTGCATGTGTTTACACACATCTCTCAACAATCCATTTTTTTCTTTCTTCCAATGGCATGAGGACTCAAGACAGTCACTATTTGCTCCTAGTATGGTGGAACTTGAGTTACACAGAGTGACAAGGTAGAATCAAATTTGTGGGAGATACACACACACACAAGCCTGTAGCTGAACTTCTGTTGCTCCTCTGAGGGTGGGCCAGCAAGCTGCAAGACTTGGCTCACACTCTGCCGACAGCTTTCAAACCTCAAGTTCCGCCTACTTAACTCAAACCAGCTTCTAAATCTTCTACCTTCAATGCTTGGGGTATTTTCTCCTCAGCAGAGACCTCAAATAATTCAGTCAACACCAGTCACGGCAGAAGAAGCCCCTACCCACAGCTGTGGAGCCTTAGGGAAGAGTTCCAACACAGAGCACTAGGTGGCAGTCTTGTCTCATGCTCAGGAGACTCGGAAGCCACAAAGTGGGGAATGTCTCTCATTTCCTTGAGGGTTGTCCTGTCCCAGCCTCTGGGCTGTAATTTAATCACCTTCTCCCAAAATGTTGTTGGTAGGCATCCCTCGGGGTCCACTTCATATAAGTCTTTTTTTTTTTTTTGAAAGGCCTGTCTGGAATAGCTTAAGAGCTTTCTTGAGAGTTGTGACTAACTTGTAGTTCTAGCAAGATGTGAAGAAAACAAAATCAGCTAGAATTACCCTCTCCCTGCACTCTAAGTTCCCGCATTCCTCTGAAACAAGTCAGACTCCAGAATGAGTTGCAAGAATGCTTTTCATGAGGGTTGAGGGCAAAGCAGGGCATGCAAACTTCCCGTGCTGAAGACCCCTCCTGGCCACCCTCTGGGCTTTCTTAAACTTCTGAAGTTGCCTGTTTCCCACAGCTGGAGCTGACCTGTGGCAGTGAAGAGAGGACTGCTCCATGGTGGGGTTCTTCACAAAGGTAGCCAGTTAAAGGTCTGGCACACTGACGCTCTGTGGCAAGCTAGAAGAAGCCTGAGGTTAGGAGCCCATTAGGTTGGGCCATTAGAATTTAGTGGTTGGATAAGCCATCTTCTGTCCTATCCTAGTGTGAATTCCTTAAGGTCCAGTACCTAACTCTGAAACCATCTGAGTCTTTCCCGCCCCTTCAACTTCCTTTCCTCTCCTTCAATCCCAACATACACAAAAGAGAACATTTTAATAGGTTCCTCCGCACCCATAATTGATTTCAAATGTTCCCTGAAGTCGCCCAGCTGAGTAACCACCTGCAGCTCTGAGCTACAGGACACTGAGTCATTAAGTCCATGGTAGGTTGGAGCCCAAGCCCAGAATTCTTAATCCAACAAATATTTATTGAGTGCCTTGCCATGAAAAGTGTGGCAAGTCATTGAGGGGGATACAGAGATGTCTGAGAAGCTGTCCTTGACATGAAGGCAAGTGTTGGTCCGCTGAGTGCCCAAACTTTACAACATGTCCCAGTGTAGAGCCTGGGGACATAGAGACTTGGAATTGAATTTGTCTTTGACACGAAACGGGACAATCCTCTCTGGCAATCCATCCAGCTTTTTTTTTTTTCTTTCTGAGCTATTCTTTTCTCAAGCTGAAAAATCAAAGGAAAAATAGAGTTACATATATATGATTCCATATATGATTCCATATGAAATGAAGTTGGAAAAAATTCCCAAACAAAAGACAAATAAGGAGACACCCTGAAGAGTGAAGTGTTTCCAGTAAGTTGTGTAGATAAACTTCCCGACGCAAGATTTGTCTGTGGGACTTGTATACTTACCAGAGACATGAAAGGTATTTAGCAGGAGACATCGAAATTAAGTTAATTTCTAATTTAATTCTAATTTTTTCTCAGCAGAGATATTAACATAATTTCCTTAGGAATTTAATTTTATAATCTATGAAACAGGAATGACTGTAAGTAGTTTATTCTTCACAACATGTCTCAAGATAAAAGTGGTATGTCAGGGACTGTAGGCTAAGAAGTCCAAAAGAATCAATTTATTTCATTAAAAACTTTCATCTGATTTTTATATTTGAGCAGCACTATTTCAAATCAGTTGGGCAATGGTGCTAAAATGTTTATTTTTCTGAGCAATAAGCCTTATTGACTATCACATGAGATCTGAGCTTACTTAATAGAAAAAAAGTACACATTTATCAGAGTTTCCTGATAGCCAGAGACTGCTGACGTCATGTCCCTCTTCAGAGCCTATTGCTAGCCTTTCTGTGTGAGTGACATGTACGGGATGACGTTTTAGGGTAAAGAGTTCCTGATCATCGGGAGTGCAGGGCTTTGAAGAAGGCATGAGGGCATGGATGGAGGAGAATACAAGGAGACCACGTTGATCCTGCGAACTGACACAGGCAAGGAGCAGGTCTGCTTCTTTCCCAGGGCTCCCCTAAAGACAGGGGTCTCTGCCCTGCCCTTTGATTGCTTTTCTGTAGGCAGCAATGGTCAAGTCAGAGTGTTTGTCCTCACTAGACCCTGGGGAACCACCTAGTTCCTCTCACATCCAACTTCTGGATCAGGACTCTGATTTCCAGGGAAATTTGTAGTGACCCTTTTTCTCGCACCCGAGCTGTTCATGTGAGGGTCCATGGTTGTCTCCTGGGGTGGCCTTGCCCTCTCTAGT